TCCCTTCCCTTCCCTTCCCTTCCCTTCCCTTCCCTTCCCTTCCCTTCTCTTCGCCCGGCAGATGTCACTGTAGCCTAGGACTCGCGACCACAGCGGGCAGGGCTGGAAGCTTCCCCCACAACCCCCCCGCCCCGACTTTGCTCCCCTCCTCCCCGCTGCCCCCCCTGCCCCAAATCCGCCTCCCTTCTCCTCCTCTCTCCCCCCCTTCTTTTCCCTTCTCCCATTGCCTGTCACCGACTAGCTACAGACGGAGGAGGAGGAGGAGGAGGAGGAGGAGGAGGAGGAGGAGGAGGAGGAGGAGGAGGAGAGACTGGGAATGAGTTGGAGACAGACACAGCCCTCCGCGCACACAGATACGCTGCTGGAGACAGACAGGGGGAGGCGGCGGCGGCGGCGGCAGGAGGAGGAAGAGGAGGAGGAGGAGGAAGAAGAAGAGGAGGAGGAGAAAAAGAAGGGGAGGAGGAGAGGAGGAGGAAGAGAGGAGGAGGAGGAGCAGGAGGTAGGACACTTTCTATCAGGCAGCAGTGGCAGCAGCAGCGGCAACCTCCCTCCGCCACCTTCCCCGACCCCTTCCCCGCATCTCCCCCGTTTCCCTTTCCCCAGCCCGGGGAGGGGATTGCTGCTGCAGGCAGAGGCAGCTGCGGGGCTCCGGGAAGGAGGCAAGTGCCGCCACTGCCGCGTTCGTTCTCCCTCCCTCCTTCCTTCCTTCCCTCCCTCCTTCTCTCCTTCTCAGCTCCTCTCTTGCTCCGGAGTTCCCGCCGGGGTGTCAGGAGTGGAGATGCAGCCGCTACGGCCGCAGCTCCCGAGCCCCGGCCGGGGAATCCCTGAGAGCCGGGGAGGAGCCGCAGTCCCCGCCGCCGCCGCCAGACAGACTGAAAGTCCCTGGGAAAGTGAAAGGGGGAGGGGGAGGGAGGCCCAAGTTTAAGGTCTCCGACTCTTAAAGAGACAAGACACTTCAGTCTTAGTGCATCCCCAGCGGTCAGCTCGGGCCCTCGGGCCCTCCCACTCCTCTTCTCTGGGTTTGCACGCCCCGGGGGTATTTCTCCCAGCACACCCGCCCCTGGGTCTCGGAACGGGAAGCAGCGGCTCCTGCGCGGCCCCTTCCTGACTGTCTGGCCCGGGTTGAGCCTGTCTGCAGCCCTCCCCTCTCTACTACCCCGCCTCCGTCTCCCCACCGATCTTCGGTCCTTAAGAGGGAGGGGGCTGCTGCAGGTGAGTGAGGCTTGAAGCGCCCTTAGGGGAGCTGGGACTGTAGGTGTCTGGATAGGGCTCAGACGTCTGGCCCCAAGTTCAGCCATCGCACCCAGCAGGGGTGGGGGTGGGAAACAGGGACAGGACGATACTGGGAACCGGACGAGGGGAAGTCCAGGGGGGCTGAGCCGGACCTAAGGGAACTCCCAGGGGTCAGAGTCGGGGTGTGGGGGGGCTGATCTTGGATAGGAGCAGAACAGAGTCCCCACCGCCGCCCTTCCTCTGTGCTCGCCTTTGCCTGAGAGTTCTCTCTCACTGGAGACTGGAAGTGCACACAGTCTGTCTGGCTGTCTGTGCGACGGGGTGGGGACCGGCTGGACCGGGATGGTGCAGGAGTGGAGGAAGCTGCCTTAGGTCGTGGGGTTTTCCCCTACCCCGGTTGCAGAGGTGAATGGGGTTGCATCTTGCAATCCCTGTCACTGCAAGCCTTGTTTTTGCTGGTCTGTTGGGCATCGTTTTTGTTGTAGAAAATTATTCTTCCTACCATTACTCCAGATAATTAGTCGGTTCCCTTTGTACGGTGCCTGGTGTCACTCTTATAAGAACTGTGTGCTTGCTAACTGCAATGGCAAGAGTTAATTTTGCATAGCACAGAGTGCAGCTGCGATAGTAGGAGCCAAGAGTTCATCCGGCTTTGGCCCCAGGTAGACCAACTCCAATCCGCGGTGCTTTTGGCTGGTAGGGAAAGCCCTGCATATCAAAGACCATGCAGAGAAGTTTTTCAGGGGAAAAATGAGGAAGGTGAGAGGGATGTCTGAAAGGCACCCACATGCAAACACAGAACCCAACCTTAATCAACCACAAAACAAACCCAGTTTTTACTCATAGATACTGTTGTTATGGTTATCTTAGTTTAAATCTAGATTTGTCCTTTCTGTCTTATCTACTACTGATCAGTCTTGCATCAGGTGAAAGGAGCAAGGTCGTCAGAAGCTCATTACCTTGGTTGGGAAGTCTATTACCTTGTGTTAGGCTGTTATTACACTTAATATGTGTTTTGCCGAGGAGACTTAGAGGAAACCGGCATGCTGAATTTCTCTTTGACCATCACCCTGGAATAAACAGGAAACAATGAATATCCAACCAAAAATCAAAGAACTTCCCTTTGTTTTGAGGTTGGATTCTGGACATCTGTGAGGAGGCGTTTCTAGAGATTTTTGAACTGTAATTTATAACGTCTGAGGTTTACTTATGAGGTTTCTTCTGTATGTATAATCATTGATGATTGTGGAGGACAGCGGGGCTCTTTAGCTTAATGTTATGTGGTAACGGAAAGGGCATTTGTCTACTCTAAAATGTTTTTAAAGGGGGGTGGGGGGGGGAGGTAGCATTCTTTGTTAAGAAGAGGAAAAAAAAACCCTCAAACTTTTGCCGGAATAGATTCTGCATGAGAATGAAGGGACTATGGAGATGGGAAGACCACATCCAGCAGACATGTAAATCAGCGTCCTGTTTCCCAGACTACCGGGCTTGCACCTTTCAACAGGAAGGCAAAGCAGAGGACCTTTGTCAGCCGACCCTTTCAAGGCAAGCACAGTTTCAGGGAAAGCTGACTGGTTGTTATACAATGATAGTCTGGGTGGCAAATACATTTCATGTTCGTTTTGTTTCTTAAGAGCCTTTTAGTTTGGGAAAATTTCATGGTTTTCGCGTTATTTCTCACACCTTGTTCCCTTTCCTCAATTATTTTAACTTATTCTTAAACTGAAACAGTGATTCACTGATAATTTAGGATTGCTTCTTAGACTGTCATTCACTCATTACACAAGTATTTATTAAATGCATACTATGGGCAACACATTGTGCTAGATACTATCAGCTGGTATGTTGTGTTGATATTCCCTATGAGATACTAGTAGTTAACTGAGTAAGAGATACGTAGTATTAATCAATAGTGCTAGCCCATGCAAATATGCAGACCCTGATGCTTTTCCTTGAGGGTAATGATGGGGAGTTTCCTTTTTAAATGGTGCCTATCACTAGGCCAACTAACATTAGGAATAATATTCTGCACATCTGTATCTGTTCTAGTGCTTCAGCACTGAGTATTAAGTTACTGTGAATATTCTACTAAGTATGTTATGAAGAAACTTTAATTGTACTGCATGCAGGTGTGTGTGTGTGTGTGTGTGTGTGAGACACATATCATCAATAACAATGCTTATTTCAGATAGAGTATTAGCCTATAAATCTGCCTCAGTGCCATACAAAGCTGGCATGGGAGTTTTTTTCTTCTTTTCTGAATGGCATCAAGAACATGGAATATGTATAGCTATTCTATATGTATACACATGTAAATTTCTACATATGTGCAGTTTGGATTTTTCCGGGGGGAAGGGACCTGGACCTGTATTGTCATTGACATGAGGAATTAACTCCTGGTGTGGAAGCTTATTTCATTGATACAGACAATAGAAGTAATTGTAATAATAATACAGTCATCCGTTCTAAATCACAGGGGTTAGGGGTGCAGTGCCCTCATGATCTGGAAAATCCTTGTAAAATTTTTGGGCCTCCCTTCTTACCAGAAAAGAAGTCTAAATTATTTTGGTATTAAAAGATAAAATAGGTTGATATTATACAATACTATATATATATTTTATGCATTTCTGAGTTTCTAAACTTTTTCTGTGTCATTTGCTGGCCTTTGCATGTCATCTGTGACTTCCATAAAACTCCTCCCAAATTCCTATTTAATTTTTCATGCCAACCTGAGATATATCTAAACTTTGAAGGGGAAAGTTATGATAAGGAAGGCATAACTGTAGTGCTAGAGAATAGACTTGATTTCATTGATATTAGGGTCTCCTGGGTGAGGAAACGTCTTTTACCAATGCAGGTCAGCACCTTCTCTGCAATTTATAGTTGCCTAGAGCACCAAGAGGTTAAATGACTTGCCCAGGGTCAAACAGCCAATAAATGTAAGAGGTAGGACTTGAACCCAGGTCTTCTTGGCTTTGAGGCCAGTTTTCTAGATACTATGCCAAGCTGCTTATAATAATAATAACAATAACAATAACTTTCATATGGTGCTTTAAGGTTTATAAACACCCTCATATCTATGATTTCATTTGTTCCTCACAGTAATCCTATGAGGTGAATACTGTTATTATGTGTGATTCCTTTATAAATTAGAGTCTTAAAGAACTGCCCGGAATTCTATGATGTTAGGGGATTTACTCAGGCTCATATGGCAACTGACCCTATGTGCCTGTAGTTGGGACTTGAACTTACGTTTACTGGCCCCCTACTCTCTATCCTCCCTGATGCCTCTCACATGCGTGTTAATAATGTGTGCATTTATTACATAGTAATATTTAGTCTTTAATTAGCACTTGCAATATTAGTTGATGGATCTCAAGAAGAGCCGTGATTTTAAAATTCGGAGGAAGGTGGGAATGGAACCTTGTTGACCTTACACAACTTAATCTTATGGCAACTTACTGGTCTTAACATTGAACACTGTGACTGAAGAGCTCATTTGGAAATATACAAATTGTGAGGATCCCAAACTGTAAAGGCCGAGGAGAAATTTGGTCTTAAGTTTTAGCTTTTCTTACTCCTCATGTTTTTTAATCTTTTGCAATGACCATTGGAAGAGTTTTCCCACCATGGGAGGTGGTTATTGTTGTGTATGTTTGCAGTTTGCTTTGGGAAGTCACTTTGCTACTAGTAGTCTTTTAGTGCTGTCTATCCCTCTCTGTGTCTCTCTCTACCTACCTTTCCCCCTCTTTCTTTCCCTCCCATTCTCTCTTAGCACCCTCTCTCTCTCTGTCTCTCTCTCTGTCTCTTTCTGTCTCTTCTCTCTCTCTGTCTCTTCTCTCTCTCTGTCTCTCTTTGTTTCTGTCTCTCTGTCTTTGTCTCTGTTTCTCTGTCTCTGTCTCTCTGTCTTTGTCTCTCTCCTTCTCTTTCATTTTTTCCCTCTCTCCCTCCTCCCCCTTCCTACTTCCTCCCTGCTTCTGTGGCTCAGTTTGCACAACCAAAGTCTTATGGTAGAACCCAGCCAGTGCCAGCTGTTGACTAAAGGATCTGGTGCCAATTTGTTGGTGCATCATGAGAGAATCACCACCAACCCCCCTCCCCTTCCCATATAGACATACATACATAGGTAAATATTTATTTATCTCCTACTGCAGACAGTGTCTAAGAATAGTTTTCTTTCTTGGCATGTTAAGACCAAGGGCTAAGTCTGCTGAAGTGTTTACAGTTTCTGACCTCTCTTAGTAGACCAGACTTCTGAAATCTGACATTACTGCATTCTGAGCTAGGGTAAAAAAAAATGTCCACTGAATGGACTGCTGGGGTGGTAACTTCCCCACTCTACAAGCAAACTTGGAGAAGTGAGAGTGACTTCATTCCCGGTAATCTCTAACCGAAGTCAGAAGCACTGGCACAAAATCTTTGAATTGAGAAGTGGAAGGGTCCTTAGATATCTTTTTATTAAACCCTTTATTTTACAAATGAAGAAACTGAGGCCCCGAGCGGTTATGTGATTTGTTTAGGTTCTGTAGGTAAAAGAGATTGGCTTTAAACCGAGGTCCTTTGACTCCAAATCTAGTGCATTTTGTACTATCCCATGAAGAAAGTGAGGAAACATAAGTGAACTCCTTGTTTTGAATCTTTCTCAAGACTAGGCTGAAGTCAACCTTAAAATAATAATGATGATGATGATGATTATGAACTTTGCAGAGTGCTTTAATATATATTCTCATTTACTACTCAGAATTCAGCAGTTGACTGATTTATCCTATGGAACATAAAGCTAATTTTTTTTTTACAATTTTAGTGGAAATGTTCGTCAAATTTTGACATGATCAAAGGTTTCTAGTGACCCTTGCCATCTTTCCCCCTCTTTTTTTCCTGTCTATGAATATTCAGTCCCAATGTCATACCTTTTGCATAGGAAGTAATAGAAAAAGAAATCCTCACACTCCCTGCAGTTCCACTCCACATATACATTA